GCATCGCCCACGGCGCCCGCCTTCCCCGGGCTGCCGAGGGGCGCCTCGTGGCGCTGCCCGGCTCCCCGGCCTGCGAGGACGAGCGTGTCCTTCCCGGTCATCCCACGGGCGTGCTGAGCTGGCACTCCGCAGTGTGGCATTGCGAATGATACGAGGAAAAAGGAAGGGGTGAAGCAGTGGCCTGGGAACAGGGTTGCTCGTGCCAAACATCCTATTTTCCCCCAGGTTTAAAACCGGTTCTGGGGAGGGAAGTGGGACATTCCTACACGGTGGGGTTTGCAGTTGCCCTTTTTCCCCCTCCTCAGTGTTTTCGCAGCAAATCATGCACGAAAGCCATGACTCTGCTTCCTCGGGAAAGCTCTGGCACATCCAACCAGCTTCACCAGCCACAGCAGGAGCCAGCGCGGGCTGGGGAGCCCAGCTGCCCTCTGCTCCCTCCGCAGGAGATTATTTCTTGGCTCATTTGCTTTATAAAAAGTCGATAGCGAAGGACCAGCATGAGCTCAGCCTGGCGTCTGTGCAAGCACAACACCGGGCGTCAGCGAGATGCAGCGGGATGGTGCAGGGCAGAGGAAGCCGAGGGGAGGGGGAACGGCAGAAGCTCCTTCCCTTGCCTCGTCGAGCCCCCTCAGGGATCTTATTCCTGGGAAAACTCTCTGAAACCCATGATAAGGTCAAGCCATGCAAAGGGCTCCAGCATCAGCCCCGAGCCAGTGTCCCAGAGCTTCCCAAAGACCCGTTTTAGTGGGGACAAAGATCCCCTGGAGCTGCAGCAAGCACAGACAGATGCAGCAGCACAACTTCCTCAGTCTGAATGGAGGCAAATAAGAGTTTTCCATGCAAAACTTCTATTTTTTTTCATGATTGCTTTGAAGGAATGAGGTCGGGGCTTCTGCCCCAGCCCTTCAGTGATCGTTGCAGCACCTCCCTCCTCCGCGCCTCCCTCACGCTTTGGGCTGTCTCTGTTTCCTTTGCAGCAAGGAGAATTTTGACAGCATCCCCGATCTGGAGTTCAACCCAATTAGGGGGAAAATCGTCCATGCCTTTTTTGACAAGCGGTAAGAGCATCCCCAGCACCACAGGGAGGGTCGGGGTAACTGCGTTATCCTCAGAAAGCTGGACACGGCTGGGCAAAGGTCTTCTTCCTAAAGGCTGGGATGGGGTCAGGGTGAAAATTGGATGTTTAAGCTAAGTCTTAGGGAAAAAAAAACATTCCTAAAGCTTAGGGATGTGCCGGGCTCTGCGGGAGCGGGTGGCTGGGGGGGGCGGTCCCAGCTGCCCATCACCGGCGGCTCCGCTCTTGGCAGGAACCTGCGGCCGGAGTCGGATGGGCTGGCGGACGAGATAAACTTCGAAGACTTCCTGACCATCATGTCCTACTTCAGACCCATCGAGATGAACATGGACGAGGAGCAGCTCGATCGCTTCCGGAAAGAGAAACTCAAATGTGAGGCTTGCCCAAAGCCCAGGGCTGGCAGGGGGACGGTGGGAAGGGGCTGCCCTGACCCTGCCATGCTCCTCTCGTCCCTCCCAGTCCTCTTCCATATGTACGACTCGGACCACGATGGGAAGATCACGCTGCAGGAGTACAGAAATGTAACGTATGGTCCCTCCCGCCCCCTCACCATGGAATTCCCGGCCCCGGCTTTGACCCACTGCCTCGTAGGTGGTGGAGGAGCTGCTGTCAGGGAACCCCCACCTGGAGAAGGAGTCGGCGCGGTCCATCGCCGACGGGGCCATGATGGAGGCAGCCAGCATCTGTGTGGGACAAATGGTGGGAGCTGGTTCCTCGCTCTACCGCGGCACAGAGATATACAGATGGTATCAAAAACAGGGCTGGAAGGTGTCTGTCCTGCCCGGGGCATCTTCCCTGTCCCCAGGCTGCTTTGGCTGGAGAAGATTTTTTGCAGGCAGCAGCTTTTGGGGGTTTTGGTTTATTTTTTTCCATTATAAGAGCCCAAGGGGGCTAAGCAAGCGGCACGCCGTAAAGCACCACCCGCAGTGCTTGAGGCTTGAGCCCTTACGAAACAGCAGCTCCTTGCAGCCATGGTGGTTCTGGGAACGAATTTTGGGCTGGCCATGGGGCATGGTGCAGGGCCAGTGCCGTGGGAGACATGTCCCACAGTCCCAAGGGACCCACCCCTGGTCACCCTGTGCCCCGAGGCTCCTGCCCATCAGCAGCCGTAATGTTTTCTCTCTTGCTGCACACAGGGGCCGGACCAGGTGTATGAGGGCATCACCTTCGAAGACTTCCTTAAGGTTGGTGCCATCTCTGCTCATCTGCCCGGGAGGAGGGTGCCAGGCAGTCGCAGGGACCTGGGCGTTTGCCCCCTGACCCTGCTCACCCCATTTCCCTTGCAGATGTGGCAGGGGATCGACATCGAGACCAAGATGCACGTCCGCTTCCTCAACATGGAGACCATCGCACACTGCTACTGACCGCTGGCTCCCTCCTGGGAGGAGGAGGAGGTAGGAGGAGGAGGAAGAGGAAGACGAGGACTCTGCATCAGCTCCATGTTCCTGGCACCAAGCGCTTTGTACCTGCCCGCGTGCCTGTCCTGTACTGGGGCTGCCTTCTGCTCTCTAGAAACCTGTAAGAGGCTTTTATCTGTAATAAAAGGTATTTCTCTTTTTACTCCTTGCTGAGGAATACTCCGTCCACTGAGAAATACTCCGTCCATCCATCACCCAGGGCCTGGGGGGGGTGTCTCTCCCGGTGCAGAAAGCCTCCACAAATCCTGGTAAATCTGAAATTTTAGCCTCTACCATGTGCTGCTCTGGGGAAGGCGCTGGCCAAATTGTGCTGTGAGCTGCCCGGTCCCCGTGCCACGGGGAGCGTGTGCAGGCAGGGATGGGGCTGCTGAGGAGCAGGAGGTGAAGGCAGCACCCTCAGCACCTGGAAGGGCAATCACATCCCTCTCTGCATCCCACCAGATGCTCAAGCCAGCGAAGGCAGCAGCGGCACAAGGAACAACCTCGATTTAAACCGAAACCGACCACCTTGGTTGCATCTGCTGGTCAGAGCCAGGCAGGAGGAGCAGCGTGGGACCACGCCGAGCCAGGCAGCAGGGATGCAGGGACACGGGGATGTGGGCTCCTGGCAGCCGGGTGGCTTCCGCCCCCACATGTTCCTGCTAGAACAAGGCATCGGAGATAAGGGCTTGTTTACTGGTATTAATAACTGGATGGCTCGAGGCGGATTTCTGTCTCTAAGGCAGCCTGAGCTGGGAAGAAGGGAGGGGGAGAAAAAAAGGGCAACGGCTATTTTTAGAAAAGCTGGAAAGATTTGTTTGTTTTATCAAAAATAGCTTCCCCCGGTGACATGTACGCTCGATGGAAAAAATAGCCCCCGCCCCAGCGAGCAGCCGGCAGCGCATGGGTGAGAGCCGCAGGGAGGGATGGATGCACAGCCATGGGCAGCCCCGGCACCAGCCCCCTCCATCCCCCACGGGCTGCGAGTGCCCGGCGTCTCCCTGGCTCCGGGCACGGGCAACTTCTTCGGCCTCACGTTAGCGGGGAGAGCTGCGCCGCCCAGGCAGCCCCGCAGACTCACCCTTGCAGGCTTCTGTAGCCTGAGAAACGCCGCTTTGAGAAACCCCGCTCTGAAAAAACCCCACTCTGAAAAACCCCGCTCTGAGAAACCCTGCTCTGAAAAAACCCCGCTCTGCGTTCACGGCCGCTGGACCACAGCCT